CGTCCCGGTCTCCGGACTTCTTCCGGAAGGTGCTGTCTTGAATTATCCAAATCTTTGTCATCTTCGTATCCGGGCCGGCGATGGAGATGTCGGCGGAGATGATGAGGTCCATGACGAGGAAGGCGTATGGCAAGCTCCGCTCAGTGGCGATGGAGGCGCAATCCGCCATGTGGATCATCACGAATTTCGCCCAATTGATGGAGGCGCCGTGGATGATGGCATGAATCGCCTTCAAGTCCTCGTTGAAGAGCGAGGTATGGCTGTTGTCCCGGGGGCGGAGAATCCGGGTGATGATGTAGAGGAGGAGGCGCTTGTCCGGTGGGGCCGAGTGAATCGTCGGTGCGCCGCTGTGGCGGATCAAGTTGGTGATCCCAAGCTCACGAATGACGACCGCCTCGTTGTTGAGGATCCAATCCTCGCCACCATAGGTTGCGATGTCGTCACCGCGGATGGGCAGCCTTGCGACCCGAGCGAAGGTAGCCAAATCAATCTCTATGTCGTAGAGATTGATGCTACTGCGAATGGTGTCCCCCTCACGGCGGAGATTGGAGTAGAAAGCCCGGACGAAGGCGGGATTGAAGCTCGAGCGGCTCTTGGATACGAATGGCCACAAGCCCGACGCTTGGAGTTGGTTGTCGAGGTCGTGGTACCCTTTGTCTTGGGGAAACAACTCCGGGAGCACTCGAGGTGGAGAGATCGGGCGCTTGGCAAAGTGAGTGAGGAAGCGTGTGAGTTCTTCCTCCGACCCGAACTCAAGAAATGATCCGTCCAAATATGGGAACGGAGGAGGCGCGGAGCTTGAGGGTTCGGCGGTGCTTTTCTTCTTGGAAGCCTTAGACTTTGATCTTCCTCCGGCCATGATTGAGGCGTTTTTGAAGAAAGATTGAAGGAATAAGTGGTATAGGCTAAAGAAATGAAATAATGATGTTAATTGTGTGTTAAGAAGGTAAGGGATGATGTGAATATATAGGGAGAGGAGGAAATCCCGTTTGAATTTTGAAGAAAAGAGCTGTTGGGCCATAAATGCTGTCTCCAACGGTTCTGAAATTTTGAATTTCAACCGCCCTCCCAGCGATGGTAGGATCTACCCATCGATGGGAAGGTCGCTACTGGAAAGCGAAGGAGAAAATCAGACTGCCTTCCCAGCGATGTGTGGACTCTCCCATCGATGGGAAGGTGGGTTCTGGAAAGTGAAGAATAAAAGACGAAAGCCTTCCCAGCGATGTTAATACCATCCCATCGCTGGGTTGGTGATTTTGGGAATACGTTTAAAAAAGATTTTAAAAAAATGTCAAACACCCAGCGATGGGAGAAAGTGCCCATCGATGGGTAGGGAGGTTCTGGAAAAAATTTTTGAAACTGAAATCATTCACCCAGCGATGGGATAAGAGACCCATCGATGGGTAGGGTGTTTCTTGAAAAAAAATTTCGACAAAAGTCCTTCACCCAGCGATGGAATGAAATACCCATCGATGGGTAAGGTATTTCTGGAAATCCGTTAAAAAGTTTTTTAAAAAATAGAGTCAATTACCCATCGATGGGAAGAAGCACCCATCGATGGGAAGAGGGGTTCTGAAAAAAGAAAACTTCCCTCCCAGCGATGGTATTGCCCACCCATCGCTGGTTCCCCCTAATTTCCAGAATTCTTCACTTTGAACCGTCCCTGCAAAAAAGAATAACACTTTGGTACCCAAAGTATGTCTATGGGTCCTTGGGGGTTAGTTGACCTTTATTGCCCACACACACACCTAAAATTCACACACACACACAATTAAATGATTGTTTAGGAGTTACCTTGGCCAACCCATTGTCTAGTGGTTGGCGGGTTCCAGTCTACCCGAACGGAGTGCCGATATCTCGGTGTGGTCTGTGTTGGTTCCGGTAACGGAATGTGGACTTTCTTCTTTTCGTCAAAGTAGAAGAAATAATACGGTTTCTTTTGTGCACTATCCTGTGGAGATTGTTTATGATTCGAATATCCTTTTCCAAAGGATTTCTTTTCGTCAGCACTAAATATGGTGTGTGTTTCATTAAAGGTCAAGTGCCTATGTCTAGTGAAACACACGGGAGCTATATGTCCTACCCTATTGCAATAATGGCATACTACATTTGGGTTGAACATATGCCTAGGTTGGTAATAGCTAGGGGGTCTAACCATTTTCATCCTATTTTGAGAAAATATTGGTTTTTGGGTATTTTGAAGATTCTCTCTTCTAGGTGTTCTAGCATTATTTTGTCTATTTGAAAAATTATTTGTGTCCATAAAATCATTTTGATAATTCCTCCTAGGTTGCCTAGAGTGCTCGTGTTCATGACTAACCTTTTGTCTAGGTTGTCTATTATTTTTATTTTTATCTTTCTTAGGTTGAGCTCTAGGTGGTTTACGGTTGTGCTCAACTTTTTCTTTATTTTTAGGTTCATCAATCTTCCCAAAACCTATTCCTTGTTTAGTGTATTGCATAGAATCAAAAACGAGATTAAGATCCTTATGTGGTTTATTAAATTTCTTCACCGCGTTTTCTAGTTCAGGAACTTGTTCTATCAAAGCTATGCAAGAGTCACAATGTTTCGTAGAGCTCTCGGGTTTGTCGGCGCTTCTTTTACCATAAAATTTATTTTCCTCTTTTAGTTTTTTGTTTTCCTTTTGAAGTTTTTCAATTTCAGTTTCAAGATTAGAAAAACGTTTCATTAAAGCTTTGTTGGTTTTAGAAGCGCTAACAAACTCGTCATAAAGCTCTTGGAGAGCTTCTTGCTTTTCTTCAAGAGAATAAGAACCGGTAGAAGAAATACATACCTCTTGGTTTTCGCTTGTTGGCGGACTCCTCTTCTTCTTGAGCTATGAGACAAGGATTTGCTTCTTCTTCTTCCTCTTGTTCGCTTGATTCATCGCCGGAGTCTCCACCCCACGAGATGTATGCTCTTTGCTTTTTGAAGTGACGAGCATTCCTTCCGCTTCTTGGGCATTTATTCTTGATGTGCCCGGCTTCACCACATCCATAGCACACAAGGCCATCCTCAACCTTCTCTTTCTTTAGAAGTTTGCAAAACTTCTTCATGATTAGTTTGACTTCATCTTCGTCGCTTGAGTCATTCATTGTCGGTTCTTTGGAGGCTTTTAATGCTATGCCTTTTCTCTGGTCATTCAAAGACGGGTTAAGTATAGTAGATTCATAAGTTTTTAAATTACCTCTTAAACCGTCGATGGTGACAGTTGATGTGCCGATTGACTCATATATGGCATCGTCCTTGGATTTCCATTCGGATGTCAAGCTCCGTAGGATCTTTCGCACAAGATCCCTGTCGGTGTAAGTCTTCTTTAATGCATGAAGATCGTTGACTATCTTGGAAAAACGGTCGAACATATCATCGATATTCTCGTGCTCCTTCATCCTGAACATCTCATATTCTTGGGTGAGGAAGTCAATCTTGGCTTCACGTACTTGGTCCGTTCCTTCGTACGTCACCTCAAGTTTATCCCACATCTCTTTGGCGGTTGAGCAGCAAGAGATCTTGCGGTAGTCATCAGGATTTACGGCACAATAAAGCATGTTTATTGCTTTTGCATAATTCTCGACCTTTTTGATGTCCTCGGCATCAAACTCGTCTTCGGTCTTGGGGATCAACTTGTCTCCGACTTTCTTCATCGGTACCTCTTCCCCGTTTTTGATAACCAACCATAATTGGAAGTTCGTGGAACGAATATAGATTCTCATTCGTTCTTTCCAATATGTATAATTGGTTCCATCAAAAAGAGGTGG